CGATCACAACGGTGTCGGTGTATACACTATCTGTCTTCCCTTAAACTAAGAGATTAAAATCACTTCATATCTTTCTTTCTACTAACTAATTCTTTCTTCCTGTACTATATCTCTATATGCAATCTTTCTCTTACATATTACTACCTTTGACCTAACCACTGCTATGAATCCGGTGTTCATCTTGTTGTACTGATGCGGTATGGCAACCTGGACCGATGCACATATGTGCCTGGTCCTACGTTGTAGCTGACTGACTGACTTCTCGCAACGAGTGTTGTTTACGAAATTGAGAAGACGAAAAGCGAATGTCCGACTCTTTAACAGGGCCGGTGGACACGGAGAGTTCATCTAGGAGAGTTGGAAATCCCTGATTGTAAACCAATGGTGACATGTGCCCCAATATCCTGAATGAACAATGGTGTCTGAGCCAATTGTTGGCCACCAGCTTCCATAGGACTGAATCTGCTTATGATGCTCCACTGCCTTGTGGATCAGACTTCTAGGTCGAAGGCTCCGGGTGTGGCCACCTAAGAAAACCGTCTGCTTCGGTTTGGGCACCCGGGCAGTATCACAGCCCTCACACCTATCAAATGAGATCTTGTCACTGAGTTCAATTCTAATGGGTTTTCTTGGTGTGATTTTTCTGCATCCAGTGAGGCACAAGCAAATGCGTGGTCGTATTAGAGCATGACCGGAGCTCAAACAGGTATTCCAGAACGAGTAAAAATCTTCTATCGGGCCTCTCCAACGATCACTGATGACAATATGGTCTATTTGAGTCTATCGTTGGTTTGATGTAGTGGGTCGCCATGTTAGGTGATGTCTCTCCTTATGCTTAAAATTTGTGTTTGCTAAAAGTAAACGATTATCTGAGCACAGATGCAGCAGACGGTCACCATTATCTGTTCACTGTGCCGGAATACCAAAACTATCCACTTAAATATCTTTCTGTTTACTTTATTCTACCTACCTGGGCATTAAAATCACCTGCTGCATGTACTATTTCTGAGCGCTTAGTTTTATAAGGAAGTAAAAGTCATCTTTCACTTCATCCGGGCTGCAATCAATGGGAGCATAGTTAGAAACGACGAAAAGGCAACATGTTTCCCTATCCTTCCGAGTTCTTACCTAGCCGTTTATTCGAACAGCGTATAGGCGATTGTTAGCATAGATCCATTCAAAGGGTGATTTTTATGCCCTCATACTTAGTGTTATGTCTACACCCGCCAGTTCATGAAAACTTGCCATCGGGTCGCCAAATACACGGAGGGTGTATCTCGTTGGCTCTCCGTTTGGGCTAAGTGAGGTCGAATGAATGACCACATTGGAATCTTATGTGTGTGTGTTTCGGTGATACAGCATACACCAATCGTACACCATTCAAGGGTCTTAGCCAGGAAGGCCCGCTTGCCGATTTGAAATGGAGTGCGTACGTTGAAGGCTCCGATGTGTAGTTTGAAGCAAGGTTTTAGTAAACCTGGGACAGTGTTTCGCCCCACACCTGAGGAGGAAGTTTTAAGTTTAAATTCGAGGTAGGAGGAATAGTAGGAATTGAAGAGGGAGACTGATTATGAATTATTGATTTATTTGAACACATAAATATTAGTACAAAGAGGAACCAAATACATATGCGCCACACAAATTCCATTCGATATGTGTGAGGGCTGTGATACTGCCCGGGTGCTCAAATCGAAGCAAGCGGCTATCTTAGGCGGCAACACCCGGTGCCTTCGACCTTAAGGTCTGATCCACAAGGTAGTGGAGCATCATAAGCAGATTCAGTCCCAGAGAAGCCGGTGACTAATAATTGGTTCAGACACCATTTGTTCATTCAGGATACTGGAGCCCATGTACACCATTGGTTTACAATCAGGGTTTTCAATTCCTGGTTGCCCACACCGTGGAAAGGCTCTCTTGGAGGTACCTGAAAAGGAAATTGTGCTGGAGGTGGTCTTTGTGATCTGAAAACGTGACCGCAGTGCCCAAGGGACAACTGCTTGAAGTTGGTCACACACGACCGTCTTGTGAGTAATTTTCGTGTTTGCTCCGTAGTTGTTGAGACCTTACCTCCTAAGACGGATATCTGTGGAATGGGGCGAGTTGTGCATTTTTAGGGTCGACCTTTTCTAACCCCATCCCTGCTTGTGGGAGGGCAGCATCGCTGTTGTGCTGGTTGTCTGAAGGAAACAACTTACTGCCACCACACCTCTGTACATTCAGCAGTACGACTTCGCCCTTGGACCTTGCGTTTGCTGCTTTTATTCTCGCCGTTCTTCAACTGACATGGTAGGACCTTGGGGAACGATAGTTCCAGCCAGTATAGCTCTATTGGTTCATCACGATAGGTCGACCACCACGTCAAGCGATTGTTGCATCCGTTTACATGTCTTATGTTGTTGTGTTATAAATATACCAGTTCGGTGTGGAATGCTGGTCGTTATTGTACTGCACATCATGCAGAACTTGAGAGACTCATTTGCTTAGGTCTGGTTAGATTTCACCCAAGTGGTGAAAACCTAACGTTATTCTATTTTTTTAGGACCTAATTAGGTCAGTTTCGCGCTACCTCTGAAGCATAGCCTCTCCGAGTCTAGGATATTCTACAGCTCAGTGTGCAGTTGTAGTTGTCTCAAATGGATTGCTAGCATTATGTGACGATACGCACATATGTCACTGAAGTCAAACAGTTCATATGTTGAGCTACTGGAGACCATCAGTCACTTGGTTGTGTCATCTTAAACACTTCCCAGATTATCTAGTAGCCATAAATTTTCATTGATTTTTAGACCAAGGACTATTAGCTAGTTTTGGGACTAAATAATTGTCAGTTAATAATAACTCAGCATGAGACACTGGATGTGATTATAAGGACGTATCAATGTAGTAACTTGAAACATCATCAGGTATTGCTTAGATTAGAAAACAGTCATTATCCCATCGTCATTTATGTTCTTCATAAACAGTAAGATGAGTTTGAATTGTCATTCTTTTCATTCTAGTTATGAATAAGCAGCTTTCTTGTATTTCATAAAACCACTATTATTTTGTGTAGCCCATTTAATAAGTCCGCAGTTATTCCAATAGATCTAAGTAATAATGACATAGAGTCATGTTATTTATAAGACCCTGCCCAGGGAGTCAGTGATACAGCAGTATTCGCTCAGGTCCCTTATTTCAGACCAGGTATTCAGTCTAAACAACTTAAGATCTGGCACAATGTGTACTAGGGCAAGCGAGATGGGATTAGTACGATATATAGCAAAGACTTTGAATTTGTGGTGGTTCTCATCCATGTGGAAAAAAACTAAACATGAAGAATATACTCTGAAAAGAAGCAAATCCCTAGATTGAGAATTCTAATGTGATAATAAATTACATGTCATCTACGTTGCAACCGATTATGTACCATGTCATCCAACGTTTTCAACCACTATCTACCGAATCCCAAACAAAAGGTCTGCATATACTGACACAGACCAGACTAACATTCTATAACTCCACGATTTGATGTCATGTCTCGATCTGGTCTCCTCTAACTTTCACCCTACTCCGTCCCTTTGTCAGTGAATGTTTATGTCATCATGAACTCGCCATTTTTATCTAGTGCTCTACTTTTGATATCAAGCACCACTCCATCATAGATGAATAACCTTCAATAGACATCTACAATCAACTACTGGTAAATCACGTATATGTTTCAAAACCATAGACGGACACAAACAACTGCTGTCTAGTGTACTTGGTCGTCATCAAGAAACTGGTATGCTCGCCTATAACACAACTGGCCAGGGTTTCCATAGGTTAAGGGGGTTTTTAAGTATGTCGAGATATTTCCAGGTTGAGTAGAATCATTGGTGCACCAGACTATTATCCTCATTATGAAACTAAGCTCTAAAAAATCACTACTGAAGCAGCTTTTCGATTTAGAGATGAAGAAACCTATTCCAAACACTCAAGGTTTGTTACTCTGGGGATTAAAAAACAGCATTTTTCTCGTCTCCAAATTGGACTATGTGGTTCCCATACATTCTCCAAGCCGATAAGTAGGTCTCATAGTGCGTGATCGACTTCCAAAAAATTAGGTGAAGTGTCATTACTAAAAGTATATCCATAAAGAAACTAGACAACTGTGAGGAACATTATCTTAATTCAGCTGAAAGTTGACCATAAGCTCTGACTCGACTAGTAGTATTCAAATGAAGAGTTCCGAGTCTGTATATGTACGTTTATGCTCTTGCTCTAAATCCCGCTGACGGGCGTGGATTCGGTCGACAAATTATTGACCAGTAATAAAACCTTATGATTCTCTTATGTTTATTGTTCTAAAGCTCTATTTAAGAGTCAAATAACTGTAGGAGCTAATATTTTAGAAATTATGTTGGTGACATCAGTTCAACTAAGGTTTTCCCTAGCGGATTTCTATTATTTCTTGTAAACTGGAACAATAAGCGATTCTGGCAGTCAAATGAGATTTTATCCAGCTCCCAAACTCTAGTAAGTACCTCAACTATTATTTTGGTGACAGTCTTGGTGCACCGTTCTTAAAGATTCCGGGATCTACCGGTCAATTTTTGGTGCCCATACTCGCTTAAAAGTGTGGTGACTTATGTCAACCCATCATTTCTGTTATATCCTGTTGAAGATTAAGTTACGGATAAATTCTGAGAACTAACAATGGACTAATATAATAAATATATATATATATATATATATATATATATTATATATATATATATATATATATATATATATATATATAATAAGCGAGAAGGCAGTGAGCAGGATTTCCCTGGCAGTGGTTGTACGCACGTGGCCATGTGACAGCATTTCGAGAGGGACAGCTGACTTTCCTCACTCTCGACCGCATCAGGGCATTCAAAGTCATTTATTAAACACTTGTTTAGTTTTCTCTACTATCAAATCAATTTTTTATTTTCAATGTATTCACAACTATATAATTATAAAGATATAAACACTCTTTTTTCCTCTCTTTAACAAAGGTTTCAGCTACATTTGCCGCCAGTCTTGTCAGTTCGCCTGCAATTGGAGCTTATCTTGGTCGTGTATATAGTGAAGAATTAATTGTTGCACTAGCTACTGCTATTGCATTTTTGGACATTTGTTTTATACTTGCTTGTGTACCTGAATCTTTATCGGAAAAAGTACGTATTGGTCATTTGTGCTCTGTAACTACATTGGGTGGACCAGTTGGTAAATTCTCATGGGGTAAAGCTGATCCTTTTGCGGTAAGATTATATTCTGTTTATTATGCTTTAGTACTTCTGTTATTATTATTATTATTATTTCACAACCTTATATGGAGTCTTTTTTTGGCAGAGGTCCTAATAAAAATGGTCTCAAAACCTGTTTCCATTTCTGTTATTATTCGTTAACAAGGTATAGCTGCGAGTTTATTAAAGTGTATTCAGATTGTGTATTTACAAACTATAGGATTTAGTGTCGAAATTCAAAATTTGACGCTAAAATGGTATGGAGCAAAGTAGGATTTCCTTCCAATCAACTTCTATCACTATCTTATATAATCGTACTATGTTAATCGTATTTATTCATGTTTATAACTGGATGAGATTTCATCGAATGAATTTATCTCAGTTTTCCATTGGGTATTTCTTGTGAACAAGGTGTTTACCAGTACTGTTAGTGGTATGTGGGCGGTTCTCATTTCTTGGATGTCCACACCATAGAAAGATACTTCTGGTTATGGTACTTGAGGAACAAACAGGATTAGTAGTGATCTTGGCGATCTGTAAGCATAATTAGAGTGTTTAAACGATAAATGTTTGAAGTCAGTTACACACGGATTTTTGTGGTTAGTGCTTGTTATGTGTTAGCTTCTCATTTTACAAGTTTTACCCCAGCAGATGGAAATCTGTAAGGGTAAAGTGAAGTTTGCTTTTCTCATGACCGACCTTGTCTAACTCACTCCTTCCGTTGTGAGAAGGCAGCATCGCTGCACATATTGATTGTGTAAGGGAAATATCTTGCTGCCGTCAAATCCCTGTACAGTCAGTGGTTCAAATCTTTATTCCCTTAGACCTTGAGTTGCTGCCATTCCATCTTAAATATTGGGTTCATAATGTGTATAATGTTTGTTGTTAAATGAATACTGTATGATCTAATTTAACATAAATTGTAGTGACGTAATAGTTCATAAAATACTACGTTTTTAACTAAGTTCAAATATATATTGCCCCCACGTACATCACTCTGGCCTGCGTCAACAGCTGAACTAAGGATAAGGAGTGAAGTAGTCGAAGGCGTCATCTTCACTTATCTTGGAAGTCTGATCAGCCCTAATGGGTTAGTATCTAACGAAATCTCGTTTGGCTTTTGTCAACTTACGTCACCTATGGCGAAGGCGAGATATCCGTCTATCAATTAAGGAACGAGTATACTACGTGGCAGTTTGTTCTGTTCTATTTTACGACTGCAAAACGTGGTCATTAAGAGTAGAAGATACTTGTGAGCTACTAGTACTTGACCACAGATGTCTTAGAAATATTGCTCGCATCTGCTGGGATCAACGGGCAAGTAATAATGAGGTTAGACACGGTATTAGAGAATGATGGTAAATCAGTTGATGAAGTTGTAGAACTTCATCGACTGAGATTGTTGGGCCACGTGTTGCGTATGCCTGAACACCGACTACCACGACGTGCAATGCTGACTAGTGTTGGAAATGGTTGGAAGAAAGTTAGGGTTGGCCAAACCAAAACGTGGCATCAATCCTTGAAGTCACTAACTTCTAATCTGAGCCTTGTTGGTAGGTGCAGACTACTTGGTTGGTGTTCGCGTGACCATCGTAACCAATGGTTAGACACGCGAACTTAGTAAATAAGTAACATTTTAAAAATAATATAATCCTATAATTTCATTCATTAGAAAGAAGTTGAAATAATTCCACATAGTGAATTTTCATTTCAACACTATCATTTACTATACAGATAAGTTTATAATCAAATCAAATTAGTATTTCACTGTATAATGAAAAGAAAATCACTCAGAAATTAAAATAACAATTATATAATGATAATGAGAAATGATCAAATGCAAATAGATCGTATATGAGAAGTATAATAAAAGAAATAAAAAATGATGATTGTCCACTTGATAAATACTGAAATAGACGAAACAAAAGGTGATGAAGAAAAGAGTAAGCCATTTTAAAATCATCGTAGAATAAAAGGATTCACTTAGTCATTTCATTTTTTGAACATACACACCCAAATGCCCTGGTACGGCCGAGAGTGGGGAGAATCCGCTCTCCCTCTCGAAATGCTCTCACATGGCCACTCGTATATAATCTCCGCCAGGGAAGTCCTACTCACTACATTCTCGCACGAGTGTTGTTTACAAAACTGAGAGAACGAAAAGCGAATGTCCGGCATCGGCTTTAACCGGGTTGGTGGACACGGAGAGTCCACCTAGGGGAGTTGGAAAACCCTGATTCCGAACCAATGGTGCACATGGGCTCCAGTATCCTGAATGAACAAATGGTGTCTGAACCAATTATTAGTCACCGGCTTCTCTGGGACTGAATCTGCTTATGATGCTCCACTACCTTGTGGATCAGACCTTAAGGTCGAAGGCACCGGGTGTTGCCGCCTAAGATAACCGCTTGCTTCGATTTGAGCACCCGGGCAGTATCACAGCCCTCACACATATCGAATGGAATTTGTGTGGCGCATATGTATTTGGTTCCTCTTTGTACTAATATTTATGTGATCAAATAAATAATTAATAAATAAATTCTCAAAACTTCAGCTTTAAACAGTTTTCATATTCTACTTGGATCCAATTGATAACTTTGAAAGTTACTACTTCTGTTGAACGGAGCGCGGAGGCAGAAACTACATGATCATAATTGACGAGATGTTCCATAATCGAAAACACGTTTAGGTAGAGTATAAAATAAATTGATTCGTCCACCAGATACTTGATTATAATAAGCTGATGATATTCCCCGGTTGCCCAAACTAAAGTGTATAAAATGAAGTTCGAACCTAAAACTTAGTGGTTGAAAATCGAACACCTTAACAAATTTAGCTACCACTTTATGTAGCCAACACAATGAACCTGTCCCACAAAATTAAGTAAACTGTTAGGTACGTATTGAGTTAACACAGAGTGGCAGATTATCGGCTCAGCAGTCAAGAAAGGCGAGAGAAAACAATACTAAAAAGAAGTATAAAGACACTTGTATTTTTTCTCTCTGGTTAAAACAAATCAATACACCCATATGCATATATATATTAACTGGCACTGGACAATGACATGTGAATAATATATATCTTGGACATAAAGCAAAAAAAGGACTAAACGTACACATATGTGTAACTGTACCTATATATATGGTATACAGATTGACTTTTCTCAAGGTGATTCACTATTCTTTTTCAACAAATGACTAATATACATTCAATATTTAACTAAATTGGTCAATTCATACATATTTCATCACCTTCCAATGAGTTTCTGTTATAGTTCTTGTTTTGTAACAATTGTAAACTATGATTTATTAGTATCTGAAGGGGTATTGTGGAGAGTATAGTAATTTCAATAGTTGAAATCATAAATCATTTGAAGCTAGATCACCATGAAAAACCTGGAAGCACTGGAAGGCCGTTTTGTCCTATTGTGGGACTCCTCAGCAGGGCGCATTCACGACCCCGCCTCGCAGGATTCGAACCCAGGACTCATCAGTCTCGCGCACCAGCGCTTAACCACTAGACCATTGAGCTGGTATCCAACAATGTTAATGTCTAACTTCAACCAATCCATTAAATTCAGTAACACATTCATTATTACTTTCTATCACATTTTCTGGTAATTTAATTAGTATACCATCATAATCATAATGTAGAAATCAATATACAAATCTGAATTGGTTTGGAATCTCATACTAAATTTCATAACAATCAATTAAAATTAACTAAATGAATAGAAAAGTAATTAGTGTATTAATAGTATAGATTATATATTGTTGAATACTATTAAAGCTCTTAAACTATAGGAAAAGATAAGAACTAAATATTATCTATCTTAAGAGGATTGATTTTTATTGTACTTGTTTTCAACAGTTACGAAATGAACATCATTTCACTGACAATTGAATAGTATCATCCAACTGTTTTTTTTTTCATTTTGATGAAGTTTTATTGTCTAAGCTGGATGGTTTAGTCGTAGAGCTTTCATCGTTCTTTTGAACAATATCATCATCATCATCATTAGTAGCAGCACAAACTTCAGATAGTAGTGTCGATGTCATCAATCGTTAAGCTTTATGTATTATAGCTTAGAAGGATGAGTTTTTCCGTTATTTTATTATTATTATTATTATTATTATTGTTGTGTCAAAATGCACAAATAAACTTTTTTAATATGAACAATGTGAACACTCAAACTCTGATTCGTTTGTTTTGACATAAAGTTCACATTAGTTTAAAGCATGAACTAATATCATTTAAATAACTATTCTACAGTTTCATTATTATTTTTCTTTTCTTCCTCCCTCCCTCCCTTCCTTCCTCCCTCTCCCTCTCTCTCTCTCTCTTAGATATTACAATAAATTAAAGTCAAATGATTGACACATTAATATTCATGTTTAATTGACTTAATTTTCAAAATTTTCGCCCTATTTTTGTTGTTGTTGTTTTTGTAATCGATTATTTAAACAACCACAATCACCACAACAACAAAACAAAAATACCCATTGAAATTTTAACATTTTACAATTCGATATATTAAAACAATATACATAAATCATGAATAAAAAAGAAAGTGCTAAAGAAAACTATTGTTGATTTTTGTATTATACAAACAGTGTAATGTATCTGATTACTTACGCCTGTTACTCCTTGTGAAGGAGCATTGGCCACCGATCAGCATTCTCCATCCAACCCTATTTTGGGCAATCCTTTCAGCTCTTTCCAGTTATTATTCATCCTTTTCATATCTATTTCTATTTCCCAACGTAGTGTGCTCTTTAGCTTTCCTCTTTTCTGATTCTCTTCAGGATTTCAAGTTAGGGTTTGCTTCGTGATGCAATTTGATGATTTTCGTAATGTATATCCTATCCATTTCCATTGTCTTTTTTTTAGTTTCCTCTTCAGCTGGAAGCTGGGTTGTTCTCTCCCACAAAAGGCTGTTGCTGATGGTATCCGGCCAATGGATGTTGTGTATCTTGCATAGACAACTATTTATAAACTCTTGTACCTTCTTGATGATGGTTGTAGTAGTTCTTTAAGTTTCAGCTCCGTACAGTAGAACTGTCTTGACGTTCGTATTGATGATCCTAACTTTGATATTGGTTGACACCTGAATAATTTATTACTAAAGTCATGAACTAACTTTAGCCAGACAATTGTTGAGAAGCAAAAATAGTGTAGAGTGTTTTTATTAAATTTCATTATATGACCACCATCAGACCCAACGGTGAACGTGGTATTTTTTTAGTTAGCTAAATTAACAGGTGGCTATCAGTACTCAGTAGCTAACTAGATAACGCGATTGTGTTTGAAGCGAACGGTACTGGGTTGAGTCCAGGAGCGAACATCAACTCGGGGATGCAGGTACATTCAGCTGACGAGTCCCAAATAGGACGAAACGCACGTCAAACTGGATTCCACTGCTAGCCACTATCCATCTTTGCCGAATTATTATACTATGGTTTATATTTCCAATTTCAGATAGTTCGCATTATTTCATGATCATCATCATATTGCCACAGGATGATATTTCTCTTAATCCTGAAATATTCGAACCCCATTGGTTGCTATTTCTCTTCTTACACCTTCAGCAATCCTTTTCAAATTTATTCATTATGGAGAATATTTGCTTATTTATTGGTTTATGCTGTAAATTACAAATCAAACAAGTTTCATTGAACCATATATGTTGACCTCGGCGATGGATGATTAATTTAGTTGGGAAGTTTTCATGGCAACACTATAATTTACGGACGACCTTTAAGCAACAATAAAACAACCATGAGAATATTCACTTACTTAATAGGTTCAAAAGAGGGTTACAGATTAGTACGGGGAATTATGATTAAGATTTAGAGGGTTAGGGTTTTTATTACCAGTAGATATCAGCTATAATGCCAAAATGCTATCTAATCGTAAGGATGAATGAATTTCTCGCCAAAATCCAAAACTTGCCATCTTGAATCTGATTGGTTTGTCCATAAATAGTAGTCTTGCCGTTTTCATTTACATTTTGAACACGGCATCGTTAATGCGTTAATACGAAATTCTAATTGCTCACTTCTCATCAAAGTACGTGCTAATGATGTTGTGTCTAGGAGAACAATGACAGTTTCATAACCAAGCCAACCAACCAGTTCAAAGAACACAACACCTCCAATAATGGGTGTTTTCCGTAAATTTACGTGTTACTTACTTATATATCTATGTAAATGCTTGATGGTTAATTGTTTTCTGTATGGGTTTTTAATTGTATAATGTTTTTTTGTGTTCATATCTTGTTTATCTATTCTACAGACATTACGTCAAATGACAAATGATCATCTTGTTCTTATGATATGTATTACAACATTTTTATCCTATTTGCCAGAAGCTGGACAATATTCATGTTTCTTCGTTTATCTTCGCCTAGTAAGTATATATATGGAAGATATTTTATCGTTATTTTCTTACTATGGAGTCCGAAATGGTTATTGAATCGTTACGATATTTAGTTGAGTCTTAGATTCGAACTCTGTCCCACGACATAGTAAATATCACTAGTCCTCACAATTAAAGTGTGACCTGATGCTAAGTATACTGATTTGTGTTTGGTAAATTAATTAAAAAATAAAAATATCAAATCTGAATTCAAGAACCCTGTCCCAGGACTCAAATTTTGAATAATTAAGCGTATATATTGTGAATCGTTATACGAAATTAGTGTAACCTTATAATTTATTGTATACATCTACATATTGTACCGACTTTTTACGTCTTTTCAATCGTCTGATTTTCTGTTCTATCAAATGTGGATCGATAGTCAGCAGTTAATTAGGCATATACAACGTATAACCTGCTACTTGTGTGTATCGACTCAAGTTGCTACACCACATTAGCACAATGAGATTCCAGAGTAATATAAGAAGGGACAGTATTAGTGATAGTAGAAAGATTATGTATAGAAAATATGATTGGGGAAGAAAATATTAAAAATTAGGACCATTGGAAGAAAAAAAGTGAATATAACCGAGTCATCATGAACACTTCTAAGGCTTGTCACTCAAAGCTTACAAACTTCGTTATGATAGTCTCTCAGACTAACCAGATGATCTTCACCTATTTACATGGTTCAGTCCAACAGTCAATGAATTCATTGGCTGATTTCACCCTGTGGCTTGATCATCACTTGCTTTCCTCTATCTTCGTCATAAACTAGCTATCATTGCTCATCAAGATAGACGGTAGTTGGACATACGTAATACTCGCTCCAGCCACTATCTCAGCTGATAAAGATTCGTTACCTCATCGATTGATTTCTCATCCTTACCTAGTAATCTACGTCTAGACTCACTCGATGTTCCCAACTCACACGAGCAATAGTTCAATGATATACCAGTAACGTACGAATATACTGCATTTTTAAAGTTCACGTCTCACAACCATCGATAGTAAAACAAATCTTCACTTAAATAATTACCTTATATAATGTTTTTGTCATAAAATAGAAAATACTCAATAATAAGAAGTGTAAATGTCATCTGAATTCAATTACGACACTGTCACCAGATTTCAAAACCAATATCGTTAATTACATGATAAAATTGACCTTGTAGATACTTCATAAACAAGTTTGTAACTATGGATATTCCTTGCTCTTACAATCAATCACTTCATTCTAATATAATTGTATAAGAGTTTTCAACTCATTTTGATGTCTTGCAATATGGATTGTGTCTATTCTTTGTTTCATGCATTATTAGTCAATGAATTTGTTAAACAATAATAATGTGATACATTGACAATGATTGTACTGTAAATATACACAAATTGTTTACGATAACACCAAGCAATTTAAGTGTAATACAATTATAGACAAACTATATACATGTTTTAGTTCATCATTATTGTCATTTTCATTTCTTTCTTTGTAAATAAATAAGCAACATTTATATCGTAAACAACTTGGTTACTATCGATCAATAGTGTGTTTATCTCTTACAAACATTTTTTATAGAATTATAATCACTGTTTTTTTTTGGTTGCGTTCTTTTTTTTTCTTCTAAAATGATAAATCTAATTGCCAGCTTTGTCAATAGAGTATCGTTTGTGTTGCTTGTCCTTGTTATTAAGTTATTCTTTTGCTAGAACCCTTCTAGGGTTGCTATCAGTTTCAAGTTCGGATAGAAGAGGAGGGTCGGGTAGAGGGTCAGCATCCCCATTCCGTAGAAAATAACCTTGCTAAAAAAGTGCTAACCAGAACAAACAAATTCAACCATTTAAACTATGCTATTCGAGTTGAAGGATCTTTATTCAGAAGTATTATGACGGTGTCTCATGGTAGAAGCCGAGATTCTTCGAAAGTCTCAAAGTCGATACCCATTTCTTATAGCCAGAGCAACAATTAATATTGGTACACGAAATGTCTAAAAAATGTTGGAGACTGATAGAATCAGTCAAATAGCTGCGAAAATGAGAAGATGCAACCTGACGGTGCTCAGAATAAGTGAAATCCATTAGACGCAAGCTGGACAAAAACAGTTAGTTTCGGGAGAGATATGTTTGTACTCTGGCCATGAAAAAAAAGATAATCCGCACGCGCAGGAAGTTGCTCTCATGCTGTCCAAAGTAGCACGTAAAGCATTTATTGGGTGGGAATCTCATGGATCCAGAATCATCCAAGCATCTTTCAAAACAAAAAAAGGCAATCACAATGAATTTTACTAATGATCGCAAAAACGACGATAAAAATAAGTTTTACGAGGGACTGCAATCAACCATAACGAACTGTTCAGGAAAGGAGCTGACAACGCTAAAGTCGGAATAGACAACACCGGGTATGAATATATCATAGACGATATGGACTGGAAGAAAGAAACGAGAATGGTGAGAGATTTTCAAATTTATGTGCATCCAACAAAATGGTTATAGGTGGCACAATATTCCCCCACAAATCACAAATAAAGCTATATATCTCTCACCAGATCACACTAGAAAGAATCAGAGTGATCATATTTACACCACTGAAAAATTCAGAAAGTCAATGGAAGATTTGAGAACCAGGAGAGGAGCTGATATAGCTTCATACCACCACGTGGTAGTTGCTAAGATGAAACTAAAGCTAAAGAAGCACTGGACAAATAGTATTACTTCGAGATACTGACAAACTCAACAAATTCAAGATAGCTCTTGTCAACAGGTTCAAAGCCTTGTAAAATCTACTGGAAGAAGAAACTACAATAGAGAACAACTGGAAAGGGATTAAAGAAGTATTAACTTGAGCGTCCCAGCATGTGCTTGGCCTCAAAACGCATCACCAGACGGATGGATCTCTATCGAAACCTTGG